TTTACTAACAGTGTGTGCTGACACTGAAGTTAGCAGTTTGTTTCCTAAGAGCTGCTGGGACAAACCACAGTGACCGGCTACAGAGTTTAGTTAAGGTGGTTCTAACATGTGACCTGTTGAATCATTTACAGGGATTTATTTTTCCTTTAAAGCATCATTTGTGACGTTTTTATGAAGTTTACTTCTTTTATGTTCTTTGTGTAACGTTTAGATTTTCTTCTCTTGTGTTTTACGTGGACGAAACAGCTGCGTGTTCAAAAGTACCCGTGTAGGTGTGGACGTAGCGTAAAAGAGTTAGTAGTTTATTTTCTTACTGCCTGTAATTTATTGCAGTTTACTTGTATTTGCTTAATTGTTTACTACTGTTACTACTACTTACTGTTTGAGGTGTGAAATAAACTGCAATGGAGCAAAATATGGGTGTGTGTGGTTGGAGGATGTGTTTGCGCGCGAGAAGGGGGGGGACATTTTTCTTGTAAAACAAAGGGAAAACAAAGATTGGGAACCACTGCTCTGTGTGTGTTCACTGACCTGGTGATGGTGGAGGAGTGTGCGAGGAGAAGGCTCCGTGTGATAAGATGGAGGTCCAGGTGTTGGAGTGAGACGAGAGGAGAGGAGCGGGAGAGGAAGATGAGGCATGGGGGAGGAAGACGGCGTCGATCAGCGCTCCGTCTGAGAGAGCTGAGGGGACAGAGTGGTTCATTTACATTTGGAAAATCTGACCGTGTCTCAATAAGATATCATGACAGTCACCATGGTTACCAGTGCGCTTATTAAAGTGTACCTCTCAGTCTCAATGTGTAGTAGCCATCGAGGGTGGAGTCACACCTCTCAGGCGTCGCCCGCCCTCCCATTGCCACCGCAGCCACCTGCTCCTCTCTGTGGGCGTGGTCGTAACGCATCGGGAGCGTCTCCACAGCAACAGGTGGGAAGGCCGGCAAAGTGTGGGCAGTAACAAAAGACGAGGCGTCTTCATCGTCATTATCATCGTCGTCATCGTCTTCATCATTGTTGTCATCAGAGTTTGTGTTTTCAAGGAACTCCATAGAGGCTTCAAAGAGAATCACTGCAGACAGACAGAAGATCGAGAACATCGTACTATGAGGAACGCCGTCCCCGTGGTCACTCATGAGCACCGTAGCTCCATGATTACCATCATCTTTTTATGATCTGTCATCTGTGAGGCCTATTCTGGCAGACACAAGGAGCACAGTTGGGTCTCTTTTATGAAAAGTTGTTTTTCTGGTCTCTGTCCTTTTGTCTTCTTGTTAGCACCACATTTGATTATTGTTTTTCTCACCTACGAGCATCGAATCTTGTGAGGACTCGTATTTCTGTGTTTTTCCTTTTAAATGATTACAGTCTCTCTGGTCACAGAAAGGTCACTTGCGAGGAGCACAGATTTTCTGAGGACTTCATGTAAACAAAGGCTCTCTATGATTTTTAGATT